TTAATCATAAAAAAATTAATGCAAAAATATTCATGAGTCCTTTCACTGAAAATCATTCAACTTTACTTTCATGATTAGATGTTCTCATCTAATCATGAAAGTGCATTATTCAAGTGTTCATGATAAAAACCTGTGTGAATGTTTTTCTTGGGGTTTTTTGGTATTTACTAAGATAGAAACTAAACTGCAGTGAGGCGTTTCACATGATGCTCCAGGCTTAAGCATTTAGTGTGCCACTTCTTATTTTTATTATCCCAAATGATTTGATCCCAAAATTCTGTTATGTATTTTTTTTGTCCATGTGGAATATACTATATAAATTACCTTGCAGAATACCATGAAGCTCTCTTGTTTATGTTACTATGCATTAACCACCAGGGAAAAAACTTACTGGTCACAAATCATAAATAACATGTGCTTCTACACATGTTTTTTGTCGCTTTGCTTTCCAGCTGTGCACCCTTCCTGAAGTTGAACATTTTTTTAAGCATCTTTTTCGTCTCAGTGTTTGCAAGTATATATACAGTCCTCATAAAGGGACTCCTGCAGTTTGTCTCTATAATATAAAAGCCCTGTGTTAACTGTTGTCGTGGGTTGGTGCTGTATGAATAGATTAAAACTGGTTTATTTTTTCTATACTTTTTAAAATATACAACACTATATTTTTGTATACAGCACTTTTTAGTCCATTGATTGATAATTTTATTTTGAAAAAATTGTATAATATCAACATTATGTATGTATTTTGTAAGCTCTGTTAATGGAAAGGGGCTGGGGCTGATATAGTGCTACATGTTGAGTCGCTTTATGAAATGAAAAGATCAAACAAATGATTGATCAATGCATAATCGATGTAGGACTTAAAACAATTAAAAAGTAAACAAGCACACAGCAGTTTAAACAATTGTAAATACATTTGCACCATTACTGTGAAAGACAGACTTAAATATACAAGTAGTTCAAAGATTATGTGCCATGAGTCGTGATTTTTTTTCCCTTTTTTGATCTTTGATAGGTGCCGTGAATGTGATGATTTGAAACATAATATAAACACAGAGGAAACTTGGTTATACGTATAAAATTGGTTCCAATAGCAGACAGCAAGAGTGAGGACAGCAGAGGAAAAGTTGGGAGGAAATTCCTTTTCCTACAGCTTATGGAGTGCAAAAATACCTTCATCAGAGATGCTTACGAAGCAGAAAAGCTCAAACTCATACAAATAGTACAAAACAACATTTAAGAAGGCTTCTTTAACCATATCCACTTGTAAAGTTTGATTTTTTTAAAATGAATAAACTCTTCACCCAGTTGACAGTTTAGATTATTACATCCTTTTATTTGATTCTTTTATGAAACCCATATTCCTATATCTCTGCTTTGGAAATCATTAATATGTTATCACTAGTACAAGATTAGTGCTTTAAATGTCATATATGTCATGCATCTGCAATTTGATCACCCAAACAATAACGTTTAGAGAGTTACTGTGAAGGTCTTTCTCATGAGGATGCGTGTCCTATCTCCTAACAGGCCATAAAGCAGATTTGACCTTGTTTTTCCTGTTTCCTCTTCTCTTCCCTGTCACATTTGTTCTTGGGCTTCTCCCTCTGCTTCAGTTTATTTGATCCTCCACCGTCATCCACGTTGGGTATACTTTGTCATACAAGACATGGCAAGACTTTGTTGTTTGCCATCAGTATTACCTGTGATGTTTGCCCTGTTTTTACAAACCTGCGAATCCACTTTAAATAGAGGTAAGGTTTTTGTATGTTTATTTCTTCATTCACTTTTAGATTTAATCCTGGGATATCCCACAAGTCTAGCGTTTCAAATTCTAAAATTTCATAGTTGTTAAGAAGTTTAACTCGTGTTTTTGAAATGTCTTTTAAGACTGCCATCAGATTTTATTGTTAAGAAGACGAAGATGTTTGGCTCCTTCTGTGATATTAAACTTTAATATATTAGCAAAGGATTAAAAAAAGGATTTTTTAAATGTTTTTCTGAGTATTCTTTGTCGCACACGGAGTGTGTGTGTGTGTGTGTGTGTGTGTGTGTGTGTGTGTGTGTGCGCGCTCATATTATGGTTTATTTCTTTGTAAAGTAGATGTACACACTGTGGTTACCTGTATATTGATATGTATACTTTACATCATAAGTAACTGATCATAAGGCTTTTCACAGGACAGTCAGTTCTTCTTTTACATCCATCCATCTTTTCAATGTAATTTATTTACAAAGAAAATTCGCTTTAAAATTTTTTTGTTAGTAATTTCTGAGAGTTACAGAGCCACTGGAGTCTTCCTGCTTATTGAAGAAGGAACCTACTACACCTTGAACTTCACAGCTGCCAGAGATGCCTGTCTTTCACTAAATGTCACCATGGCGACGGAATATCAGATATCAAAAGCAGTCACACATGGACTGGAAACGTGCAAGTAAGCAGAAAGCATTTAACTAGGGTTTAATACATGTTGACCCATATGCATTTTTCATATTAATAAATCATGCACAAAAACAGGCGACTAACTCGAATGCGTTTCCAGTAATAACATAAAAATATTTTAGAAAACACAACTAACTTTCCCAAATACACAAGATCGATGTATTGCATAAGCACTTGGGTCCATATATTTTTGGTTAGTGGCACTTTTTTTGGGGGTAATTTTGCCTTCTTACACCATCACACTTTAAATTAAACCAAAGATTATTTAAATCAAGGAGTTTAACATTTGCATTCCCTGTTTATAAATTACACACAATCCCTGATTTTCTGTGGCTCAAAACTAATTGGACAGACTGACCTAATTTTAACCATAATGATTGTTGTTTAATATGTGGATAAAAACCATTACTATATTACTGTTACTATTTTAACAGATATGGCTGGATAGCTGAACAGATTGCCGTCATCCCACGAATTTCCCCTAAACAAAACTGTGGCCAGGGCAATATCGGGGTAGTGTCATGGAAAGCATCAGCAGATAAAAAGTTTGGCGTCTTCTGCTTCAATGCATCCGGTATTACTTATTTTCTTAGTTTATGAGACTAATATACGCCATAAACGTCAATTCATCCATCACAGATGTCAAATGTCTAATGCCAAGACCAAAGTGTCTGAGTGGCACATAACAATGTAATGACATGATCAGTGTGAGTGCGACCCGCAAGTGGTTTTCATGTTGTGCCTAATTACTGCCTGTAATTACAGCATCTGATCACTTAAATAGAACTGAACCATTGATTTTCTCAGCATTAACAGATTTGGAGACAACAGCCAGCTCACAATCCCCCACATCTCCAACTCCACTGACAACTCAAACCACACATTTGGTCACATCAACAACAAAGTCCATGTCCTCAACAAAAAAGTCAATAACAGGAAAATCTCAGCCGACACTTCAGCCCACACCCTCAACTTCAGCTTCTGATGTGCTTGTCAAGACATCGCGGTCAGCAAGGATTTCTTCCTCTGCCACCCCTTCTTTTAAAACGTTCTCAACCCATATTCCTGTTTCCTTGCCTCCGATTACCACTCTGAACCCCCCTGGTACCACTTTTACCTTTTCTGCTTCCACTCATGCCTTCAATTTCCCACCTTCCTCTGAGTCGGTGCTGCCACAGACTGAGAGCCCCACAAAACCATCTCTAGGAGGTATGTTCTGCAATATCTTCTTTTTTCATTGTTTGATTTTGCTAACATCATTTCAGCAAAAAGAAACCCAAACATTTGGATAAATGATTTTAATCAAATTAACTTATTTACTTGTTTTCTTTTGTTGTTGTTTTTCTTTATCAGCTTTACATGTAACAGTTATTGTTCTTGGCATCATTCTTCTGCTCCTGACTGCAGCAAGCGCTATGTGGTACTTTCAAGTGTGAGTAATGTTTTCAGATGACCTGCACGGCTTAAAGCACTTAAGGAACAACTTTTGTTTCTTTGTTTGCAATAATGTGGTGTAATCCTCCACGTATGTTGTCTTTTATTAAAAACACTTTTCTCTGTCTTTTTGGAAAAGGAATGTTTTCAGGTGCTTGTCTCACTGGCAGCATATGGATAACATCGAGACAGAGATGTGGAATTTTACTGATAATGATATGAACCAACTCGGCCAGTATGGACCGCAAGGAGATGATGATGATGACGATGAAGAAGAATCAGACCACAAGTACTCCAGTGATATCACTCTGTGTGTGAGATCAGACATCAAAGCAAACTCTTCAGAATAATATGACCATTTTGTGCAAGTTTTTGTAGACACAGCTGTGTTGTCTGATAAAAACAAGATTAGAAGATCATTTACGTCATAAACTCTTCGGTTGATTGTTGTACTCATAAAAATCCTTTATACAGCCTGATGCAGGACTCTTCTGGCTACAGACAACTGACTCTGGCACTATGTTTAGACTTGCTGTCATATACACATGAATGAAGGTGGAAGCCAACATATGCTTCGCTCCTAGTGGTGGAGAAAAAACAATACAAATATGTAACTGACACAGACCATATTGTAAAATAATATTGAAAATATACAATAATAATAGTGTGACCTGTATTTCTGTATTACAGACAACCGATACTAACAAACAAGCTTTCAAAGTAATACTATTATTACTTTTATTATGAAAATAAATTGTGTTAATGTTATTTACAAGTGTCTTCTACCCCCACACACACATATACACACACATAGACATATGCATATCTAGATTTAGCACAAAAAGTCAGGTAATTTGTGTTTGGGCAAATATTTCTTTGTAACTTTGCATCTTGGCAATAAATACTGCCGCAAAGCCTGTTTATTTCCTCTTAAAGGGCACCATTTAAATTCCAAAGAAATGCATGTGTGGATTGTGCAGCAGAGACGAGTATGAAAAACTTACCAAATCTTCTCTGCCAATCGAGTAAAAGTACATTTATTTGTATTTATTTCACGTAAAATAGCAAAAAATATATACTTCCAAATACACATGGGTACATGTTGTTACCAACGCAGCAACATGGCGGCGGTAATGAGTCGTTTCGGTATTTACTCACCGACATAAAACCAGCGAAGAAGACGACAACTCCAGAGCCAAACCGTTGTTGATTTTTTTTTTTTGCTTTGCTCATCCATGTTTGTAAACGTTAAGTTACAGCTTTGGTAGAAAGCACACGAAATGAGACGCCTGGGTTCCGTACAGCAGAAGATACCGTGTGTGTTTCTGACAGACGTGATGGAAGAACAGTCCAGAAAACGCGACTGTCAGGTGAATGCATCTGCAGACACATTATCAGGCGCAGTAGGTTTATTATGGGTATCTCTTGCTGCTACAGTTGTTAGCACGGAGAAGCACCCGTCGTGAACAAGTTCTTAGTCGTGTCTTTTTTTTTATTATCTTTTACTGGAAATGAAATGTAAGCAGAGTAAATGTCTGAGCCAGAGCAGGGGGAGGTGGCTAACTGTTGTCCTTTCGCCTGTAGCACGAGGACACACCTCAGGTCTTCCTCGGCAGAGGACCACACTGATTTGCATAATGTAGACAACAGGTTGAACAAATTAACTGACACATGGTCGTCGTGACAAATAGTTGTGCAGCTGGTTTCAACAGCAGAGAAATTTCTGTCTGATTTATTTATTTATTTATTTATTGTAAATGTGGTGCAATCTGGCATCAAACAGTTATTTGCTGTGCCAACTTTCCAGTTTTTAACAGTGAGTCGAGTAGAGCCAGTGCTGTGTGATGAATAGAGTAGAGCAAATACCTGCATGGCTGAATGAAGGGTTTTTCCTACTTACTCAAGCTTTACCAAAGCACCAAAATCTTCTTTGTCAGGTAACACACAGACATATGCAGACCACTCTTGCAGGCTTAGTCACTGCAAGTCTGGAAAAAACAAACAAACAAACTCTGGAATGAAGAAAATTTTGGCCGGGCTACTTGAAAGCAGAAGAAGAGAGAAAGAACGTGCCAGTTAAAAGACTTATGGACATTTCAGCTCTATCGTTAAGGGCATGGAAAAACCTGACATTAAATTAATGTTTCATAACGTGTAAGACTGAGAGCATCTTTACATAATTCAAATGTAGGCTAAACCTAACTGCAAGTTTGATATAAGGAAGTGCAAATAGATGGCCTGTTTCAGGATTGTAGTCAGTGAGACTTGTAGAACATTAAAACCCTACAGGAAAAAAATCAATGAATAAAGTTGTTTCTGAGAATTGATATTAATTACTGATGCTCATTACCGAAAGACTTTAGACACTGTTACTATTCACTCACTGAGCTCTGAGGGATCTTGTAGAGGCATTACTATCTGATGTTAATGTACACAGCTCAAAGGAGAGATCTGCAGGTGTCAGGATAGAACTACATATAACAGGAAAAGTCTGTTTTCACACATTAGCTGTTTACCCTTAAGTTAAATCGTTGCAAAGAATTATTTCAGTCATTTCCCTAGATAATCAGTAACTTAATACTATCATTTTCTTTATTCATTTTTTAGCGGTTGTTTAGTTTTTCTTTTAGAACCCTACCACAGGGGGGCCACAAGCCGATGTAGTGCTAGTGCCGTTTTCAACCCAGCAGAAATGGGGAGGGTTGTGTCAGGAAGGGCATCTGGTGTAAATCAACCATGTGAATCATCAAGAATGAGATTTCCATAGCAGATCAGTTGAGGCCTGGGTTAAGAACGACCGCCTACGGTGCTGTTGGCCAACAGGGTGTGGATGGAAGTTGTGCTGCTGCTGGCCAAAGAGGAAAGTTGGAAGGCATGTTCGAAGACAGAGAGAAGGATGGAGCCAGGGAAGAAAAGGGGACGGCCAGAGTGAAGAAGGCCATGCAGAGGGTTTATGTGGCAGAGGAGGATGCTTGAAATTGAGGCAGAAGATGAAAAAGTGTTGTTAGTGTCTTTTAGGATGCCAGCTGGCCCCCCAGATTTTTCTCCACAGCGATACATCAAACAACATCCATCCATAGGTCTCCAGCCTGTCCAAGGCCCAAACAACATAGAAATGACTTGATTTGTACAGAATGGTTACCCTATTGATGGAACAGAAATATAATTACCACCATATTACTTTATGGCTGTGTTTACCATCCTTTTGGAGCTACGGCACATATTTCACATTAGAAAAATCACATGGCACACCACCAAACAAAAATGTCACAAAAAGCATATTGATCATTTTTCCTGTGCACCAGGTACAGCAGAACCACTACTCATGCTAGGGCCTTCATCTGGGTCAGATTGACTACTTTTTCTTTTCAAATATTTATCTATTGCTATGATGTGCTGCGTCGTCTCACAGCATGACTTTTTAATTTCTTCTTCATCATCTTCTGCTTTCCCGGCAGTTGGCAACCTATTTAATTAGAGCAGGTAGCTGTACTGCTCTCTAGTGGAAGAGATTGTAATTGTTCTGCCCGTTACTCACGCCGGTCCTCAACCTTTTTTGCTCCACGGACCGGTTTAATGTCAGACAATATTTTCATGGACCGGCCTTTAAGGTGTCTCAGATAAACACAGCAAAATAAAATGAAACAACCAAGACAAAAACAATGATATTTTGTAATTATAATAATAAACGCAAATTCATTGTGTAATTGTGTAACTTTATTAGCAGCGTCCTCGTGAAATACGGCAACAACATTGAGAGTAACATCCTCCTCTCTGCCCCTTAATGCTCTCTGGTCACTATGGTAACGCTTTCTTTCAAAATAAGACACACAACTACAACACGGGAAAAGACCCAGGATAACCGAGTTAACGATAAAACCCCGGAAAACCATAAATTTCACACCCAAGCCTCAACATGCCATATCCACTTGATATAAGGCTAACTGGCAAACTGTAATGTTTTTAAAAAATTTTCCCCTCTCTGATTTTTAAATGCATGTGCCTTAAAACCACCAGGTGCAAGAGTTCCCTGCAGAGCCTGGGATTAAAATTTGTGGCTCTTGGAGGCCTGTTTCCTTTGCACAGGTTTTCTCTGAATTAGCTGGAGCAACCAGCTAATTCATGTCATATGTGCCGTGAGCACATTGGCATTCGTTCAAACTCTACACCACTTGAAGATAATTTTGCTTTCAGTGGAGTGATAGATTTCAAATAAGTGTTTTTGAATCATTTTCCAAACTGATATACTTCATCCATCCATCTAGAGCTGTAGAGAACGCTTTAATCTTGGCATAATGATGACACTTTATACTGATGATCATGGGCCTCATATCACTGGCACCTCATTTGTATCTCCTTAATGTTATGTTTTTATGTTGTGATAAATGTAGTCTTGTAGTCATGTGTGTTTTTTGAAAATAGCCAGAAACTGAAACGTCATTTGTTTGAATCAGCACCTGTTAATAGATATATAGGAGATATACTTTAAGAGAATCGCTTTTCATGGGATTCACTTATATTTCATGTAATTGATTCTCTGGTTGCTAAAACTTTGCAGTCATGAAATTATTCTCAAATTGCATTAGATGAATTGTGCAGCTGATTCAGTGTCAGCACTGTTGTTGGTTCTTTAATCAAGCCCAAACTTATAATTGAAAAGTGGTGGTTTATAATGTGGGGCTTCTGTTTGATGCTATATAATATGTAGATAACTGATTTATGCATTCATGGTACCGTTACTAATGTTGGGTATAGTCACTTTCATTTATATCTTGCACTGATCAAACATGGTTTTGCTTCTCTTTAGCAATTTCAGGTTGTTGCCACAGAAAATGTGAACCCTGTTGCTCTGCAGGCTAACATACATAGTGCGCTTGCCACTGAAAAACTTGATGGCACCTGTTGCTATGTTACAGTTTATAAAGGTGAGAAGATCTCAGAATAACACTGATCATTTCCTAGTCAGCATCTACAAACTGCTACTACTTTGTAGTTTTCTAAGTGGAATTGATCTGTTTTCTTTAGGGCAGCCTTACCTGTGGGCTCGACTTGACAGAAGACCAAACAAACAAACAGAGAAGAGGTTTAAAAAGTACCAACATTCTCACAAAAGTTGTAAAGGTAGATTAACTTTGTCAAAAACAGTTTCCCCCAAGATTTTTGAACACGTTTTCTTTTTGGTAATATTGCTTCTACACATCACCACAGTGGGTTTTTAGTGACTGAAGCAGATTCTGAGCCTCAATTCAAAGGGTTTAATAACAGTATTACTTAAAAATCCACTGTATTGGTATACACAAGCATAATTACCAGAAACCTATGGGGCTAATTGTGATAATATTGAGTGTGGACCAAAAAAGAAAAGGCCTGGAAAATGTTAATACATAACACATTTAGCAGTGGGGAAGGGTTTTATTTTTCCAGGCTTTCTTTCAGGTTTCACGTGGAACATAGAGGAAGATTTTAAACCGGTGCCAGAAACATGGATCCCAGCTCATGGAGTCAAACATCACAGCGGCCGTCCAGTGCCCGATGAACATGGACATATTCCAGGTTCTTAGTTCTCATTTTAGTTTGTGTGCAGTGAATTCACCTATGTCTATGTAAAAGAGTTTATGTAGAAAAATGGAGGTAAGTGTCAAAGTGATGATAAGCATCAAGTATCGTCCTTCACATGGAAACCATCAGCATGACGAGTACTTTTCTTTGTTGTTATAAATATGTAGGCTGGGTTCCAGTGGAGAGAGACAACAAGCAGTACTGCTGGCACTCCTCTGTGGTGGATTACAACGTTGGGCTTGCTCTTGTTCTCAGGCCTCGACGTGACAACGAAGACATGTTAGAAATCACATCAGTCCCATTAGCTGAGCTCCAGGAACAAACACTGGAGCTTATTGGAACCAATGTCAATGGGAACCCCTATGGTAATAGAAACTACATTCATTTTTTTTTAAATATATAAGCTGTGGTTAGGAATTAGGAATTAATTATGTTATGTTAATAAATGATTAAGATTAATTAACTTCATTGGGTGATTGATTTAAAAGAAAAACTGAAGTAAACCAAGGTTCATTAATATTATACAAACAGGGCTGGGCAGCAAAAAACAGCCTGTCCACTGCCTGGTTACACATGGGAGTGTCCCAATCAGAAACCCACCACCTGTGGACTTCCAGCAGCTGTGCTCCTGGTTTCATGAGAATCCAGACGGTCGAGTTGAGGGCATAGTCTGGCACTGCAGTGACGGCACTCTCATCAAGGTGGGATAATATATATATATATTATTCAGTACATAAAATAGATTTAAGTATCTGTATTAAAAGATTGAGCTGCCATAAGCAGTTTACAGGGAGCAATGCTGTCATGCTTCAGTGTTCTAAATAGTGTGAAATCAGGCACCAAGCTCTTCTGTGTGTGTTGTTAGGTCCATCGTCATCACCTGGGACTGAAGTGGCCAGAAGCGAACACTTGCCTTGGTAACAAGCCGACGGCCATCCGTGTTGACGCTTATGGCAGCACGGAGTTGTTTACATCGTTTGTAGCACTAAATGGACACTGCTTCAGCCGGCTTCAGGACATTCACTTTGAGCTATAAGTCCATGCGGTCTTGTGAGGATCTGCCGCTTCGCTGATAGATCCTTGATATTTCATCTGTAATTCCATGCGAGTGATTTACAATCCTATACTCATATAGATAAATTTATTCCACAGAAACCAGTTAAGAACTGCTGCTTTTTGAATTCATGAAAGTCTTAAGAGTAGCTTACAGTGAGTGAGCTGTTAGTGGAAGAAATAAGGAGAAAACTGACTGCCAAAGTTTAACGTTTGGCACCCAAAAGAAACGGTGGAGTGAATCAAAACTTAAGATGGTTTTTGCAGAGATGTGTACTGCTTTAATGTAAAAATAACTGACCAACTTGGCTTTTTTTTTTTTTTTAGCAAGTTAAGTTATTAAAGGGAACCCCAGGCACTGCTTGCCTGTGCCAATCGTAATTTCACTGTATAATAAAAATTAGAATTCTATTAATGTTTTTATCACGCGGTTATGCGATGCCATGGATAGCTGCTGCCATAAAACTGAGCTCTTTACAACAAACGCTCTCAGTAGCCGCACAGACACCAGTAGTTTTCCCTCACTCTCGCGTCCTCGTGTGACAGATTGTTTTCATCTTCATCTAAAATAAGTGCTGGTTGACTATTTTCATTCTCTCTCTCTCGGATTGTTCTGGTTCAAACTGGAAACGTTGAACTGAAGCCAGTTCCAGTGCGCTGCTAACTGAACTCGATGCGGTGCAACCGTGTGACGTCACTACCCAGAGTACATTGAGAAGTAAATAACAATGGCGGCCTACTGGTAAATCGGTTTTATATAAAATGTGCTTAAAAGGAAAACATTTGGCGTATTTTAATACCACATGTTATTGAAAGCACAGTGCATATTTTAGCGCAAACATGTCTTAATAGCTGGGGTTCCCTTTAAAAATGACCACTTTATATATACTGTATCCCAAAACTCATCTGTTGCTAAGTGAAGAATGAATGAATAAATATTAACATTTTATTCAACAATTTTTTATTTGACAGAATACAAAAGTGACTTACAGTACACAGAAAAAAACTTTCATGTTACGTACAAATTTACATTCTCACACCAATAAGTTAGTATTCACATATTAACACAAAAATATTGTGTCATTTCATTGTTAAAAGGAAACTCCTTCCTCAAAATTTCCAAGGAATGTGACTGTAAAAGCATGACTTACATACCACACATTAAGTGATAGACATACTGGGCACTTCTGCCTTTACCCCAAATTGTTGACACACTTTTTTCAGCTGCTCCTCCAACAGAACATTCTTCTTCACCTCTAAGTTGTAGTTATATTTCAGGTCTTCGATTTCATCAAAAAATGCTGGGTCAAAGTTCTCCAGTTCTTTTTTCAGCTTCGTGACCTCAGCTTGAAGTTTGGTTTTTTCAGTTTCAGCTGCCTGCAGAAGTTTTTTGAGTTTCCCATAATCTATGGACACAAGAAGAGAAACCATCATGATTCTTCCTTAGACAGTACTGTACCTCATACCTATCAAGGTGTTTGTTAAGACGGCACATATATATAAAAAAAAAAAAGTCCCAACCTCCCTCAGATTCACGCTGACAAAACAGTGTAGCTGGAAGACTCGCCTAGTTTAGATGTCGTCTCGCCGTATCGTTCACTGTATTCTTGCATCCTTCGTTTCATTTCTTCATTCTCTTTTCCCAGCTGAGTGCTGGCCAGTCTTCACATACATGACATGTAGAGTTTAGTCAAAAGCAAAATGTAAAGTTGAATGTTTCAGACAAAGGGAAAAAAAAAAAATTTTCATGCGAAGTTTAACGTACCGGATTTCCTGGAAGGCCTTGCTGCTTCCTGCATCACCTTTTCCAACAGCAGGAAAGGTTTTTAACACGTCAGCCTAAGAATGACAAACTGATAGTATCAATCAAATACAGCACCTAAAAAGACAAAACATTTTGTCACAGACATAACCGTGTTACATCATAGATTTTGTCATCTCTTTTTTCCACAGAAAAAAGAACGATAACTACTAAAAACTAAAGCTTCTCTTGAAAACACGACAAAATGTCCACAGAAAATGTCAACTCATTTTGCATTTGATGTCAAGGAAAATAAGACGTGTTATGAACTGTTGAGCAACTCTAAAAACACAAACTTTTACACTTTATATTTTATTTCACTGAATCAACTTTAGATTTCATGTACTATAATCTTATGACATGAAGTCGAATAAAACTAAAAGAATTTATTAAAACTAAATGATGCTTTTGTCAAAATATAACTAAAACTACAAAAAAAATAAAAAATTTGCTGTCCAAATTAACTTAACCCTCTACTGCATAGCGTTGCCCTGAGGCAACAAACCACATTTTCATCCTTTACACTGGCCCTTCAAATAATGCTACCAGGCACATCTCTTTCCAATAAAATGAGTTGAAGGTGGTGTGACTTTCATTTGGGGGGGGGGGCTTTCTGCAAGGTGCACTACATGAGACATCTCATTAGGAGGCAAGATAAAGATCACTATTTTACATGTTTATAGTGAAATACATGTATATTAAAAATACTTGTATATGCATGAATATGTGAAGAAGCATATTTGATTGTTCTACTTTTTAAATTTCATTTATACTGTAAAACTGTTAATTTTCATTCATTGCCTCAAGGCAACACTGCGCAGTTAGCCCAATTTTTTTCAGGCAATATAATGCATTTGCATATGTGTGTAGAGATGTGTTTGTGTGCATTTATATGATCATAGTCAATGTTTTTTACTTCACAATCTACTCATAATTACAGGACATGGATGTAAATACTTTTATGGAAGGAAACCAAGGGAATGTGCACTTTCTGTCCTCAGAAAGTGAGGACAGTGAGCTTTCAGGGAGTGACAGTGAAGTAGAGTGGATGCCTGAATGAGGTTTGAGGGACACTTAGGAGCTCAGGGGTCAGTTGGTAAAGTAACTGTGTCTGTGTGTGGTTAGTGTGTGTGGTCGTGTATTATTTATTGTTGTGGGGACACAAATTTGTTTGCACACTCACATTGTGAGGTCTCGCCTACTTTATGGGGACAAATTGCAAGGTAAATCATTATATTTTAGGGTGAAGACTTGAGTCAGGGTTAGGGTAAAGTTCAGGCAGGGACTTGTGATGGGTAGGGTCAGGATAAGTCTCCAGGAAATTAATGTAAGTTAATTTAAGGTCCCCAAAAGTGATGGAGAAACAACGTGTGTGTGCGCACGTGCGTGCATGGGGTTAGGGTCAAATGTTGGATGTATTTTGGTGTTTTATTGTTCTGTGAAATGTTTACATTGTTTATTTGTTGTTTATTTATTTGTTCATCCTTGTTGTACTAATGCATCTTATTATAGAATAACTTGGCGTTTTACTACCCTTGTCGCACAGTGTTGCCTTGAAGCAACAAACCAATATCTGTTTGGGGGGGGCAAGGTGTCAAATTTTATGATTGATATATTAGTAGGGACCCTAAAGCTCCCCAAAAATTAAAAAGTCATGCAGTAGAGGGATAAGATGCTGGATTAAAAACAGCCTGGGTAATAACAAGAAGTTTGAAAAATGGACATTTTTGGTCAGTATCTGCTTACCAAAGATTGTCATGACTTCTAGATTCAGCACTATCTTAAATAACAGGAACACATTTTAAAGTTTTTGCCACCTGATCCTCGAGTTGTCGTATTGTTATCTGAGCTCTCTCCTCCCGCTCTGTCATCTCTTTCAGCTGTTGTTTGAGTTCAGACAATCGGATGTTCTTTTGGGAGAGTTCCTTCTCCAGCTCCTTCATCTTGTTCTCAAACATCCTGCACAAAAAGAAGTCAAATGACCATCAGATCTCACATTGTGTCCAAAGTAAATAAACATGCTGTTTGTTAATATTGTCTTATTAAAGCTTGAGCATGAGACTGACGTAAATGAGCAGCCTTTATTACCAAAGAGTTTGCATAATGTTGACTAAGCCTGTTAGCGACAGTCTATTTCGCAGCATACCAGAGTTTGAATCCCATGGGCATGATAATGATTGTGCATTTAAGTCACACGCTGCTGATTTAACCTGCTGCACAACCCTAAAGCTTACAAATTACTTTTAAGTGCCCTTTTCTGAAAGACTATTGGTTTTGTTGACCTGGTTACCACAGATGACTTCATGGTCTTAGTGTCCACCCCCTCTGTAATGGGCCTGGACAGAGCTTCCCTCAGTCTTTGCTTGATGTCTTCCAGCTCTGCCTCAAGCTTCTCATTTGTCACTTCTAGTGTCATCTTGGTCACTCTCAGCCTCTCTGCAGCCTCCATTTCCTTTTACAGTGACACACATTTTCAAGCATAGCCAGGAGACAAAAACAAGCATTTAGACTTTTTTGATTGTGGTTTTTTTTTTTTTTGGAATAATTAATTCTGCCCCGACCCAACTTCATTAAAACGAACTTATAATAAGTCATAGAAGACGTTACCCTTTTAATCTCCTTTCGAAGACGTTCATTTTCAATCACTATTTTCTCCAGTCCTTTGGTTTTGGATTCAAGTTTGGAATTCAGCTCAGTTTCAGCCTCACGCTTCAGTGTTTCAAAGTCGGCCTGGAAAACAGCGCTTACTGTAAGCTGCAGTCACGGAACAGAGATGCTAAATAAACCTTCCCAAAATAACGTTTGTGATGTGTAAGGTGAGACAGGCGTTGGCAACCTTTAGCTTAATATTTTCTTTCTCCAGGGCAGTGACTTTGTCTTGATTCACAGTGGCGCTGGATTTCTTCAGTGCTTCATTTTCCCGCTGCACCCTCTCCACCACCTTCTTCATCAATCCAATCGTCTTCTCGAGCTCAGGCACCGTTTTACCACTGTGACCACCCTGATGAGGATCACAGAACAAATCATGTATTAGATCAGAACTAGTTCATTTTTTTGTAAACTGTGTTTCAAGGTGATTCTGTTTTAATTCCTATGTACAGATTTATTTTCAGTTGTTTTAAAGATCGTGTAGGCAAAGAAAAAAAACATACTCCACGTATATGAGCCAGCTTTTTTTCTGCCTCTGTCTTTTCCTTTTTCAGTGCGTTGCATATCTCCTTAAGGTCCGCAACTTGATTCTGTAGGGAGCAAAAAACCAAAATACCTTTGGCAAAAAAACCCCAAAAAACTACTTCCAGTGTTTCCAAATCAAAGTATTAATTCAATAGATTTGCTCCATTCTTTTAAACCTCTTAATGTGGTGCTGAAAGAAAAAATGATGCTACAGATGAAATCACTTTTTATTAAAGCAAACTTTCATACTTTTTATGTATTTTTGTAAATGGTCTATTATTAAAGCAATTAAGGCAAATGCGTTTAATGAAGAGGTAAACTCTCCAGGTGCCATCAATAGTCTTCTTCCACGGGGCGATCGTGGCTCAAGAGTTGGGAGTTCGCCTTGTAATCGGAAGGTTGCCGGTTCGAGCCCCGGCTCGGACAGTCTCGGTCGTTGTGTCCTTGGGCAAGACACTTCACCCGTTGCCTACTGGTGGTGGTCAGAGGGCCCGGTGGCGCCAGTGTCCGGCAGCCTCGCCTCTGTCAGTGCGCCCCAGGGTGGCTGTGGCTACAATGTAGCTGCCATCACCAGTGTGTGAATGTGTGTGTGAATGGGTGGATGACTGGTTATGTAAAGCGCTTTGGGGTCCTTAGGGACTAGTAAAGCGCTATATAAATACAGGCCATTTACCATTCTTTATATTTTAAAATTATAGTTCTCACACAGGAAATGTTTCCAGTCAGAGCTTTCTGCCAAACTGGCTCTCCCAGATCTGCAGCTTGTAACATTTATTAAAAAAAATATATATATATTATGGATGTATGTATGTTTTCATATATCCATAGCGCTCGTGTTGAACTGATCAGCTACCTCAGTCTAATTGGGTAATGTCTACCTTGAGCCTCGGCAGGTCTTTGTTGGTCTGCTCCAGCTGAAAGCGCAGCTCCAGGTTCTCAGAGGCCAGCTTGAGGTTTTCTTTTTGGCAGTCCTGCTCTCTCTCTGATGGAGTATTGGTGCCTCGTCCTGAAGTCTAGAGGACAGCAAGGGCACAGAGTGAGCCAGGTGGAAATAAAGGTCATCAAATTAAACTGAAACAAAATATTGCAAAGGGAGTGCAGAAACCACTGGGAACATCGAGTCCATGATCGACGGTGTGAGGGAAAGAAACAACTGCACACTAAAAAGCAAGCCATGGCCTAATCTTTGCTCTTCCATGTCTAATGCTATCACAGCATTACCACTCCAGCAGGGTGACTACAGAAGCCTTCAGATACCTTTCGACAGCTCACAGATTTGCCTTCACGTTTTTGTACTTCATGATCCATCTTGTTCCTGATGAAGTGTTTGGTATGAATAGAGCTGGGGTCCTCATCTTCATGTAATGGATTTTCCACAGTTGCATTCTTTGTTGTTTCATGTTTCTGTGTAACCCATTCGTCCACCTGCTGTGACTTCTCTGATGCGATTCCCACATCATAATCATTATCATCTGTATTTTGATAGTCTTGGTCGCCAACAGCCTCTTTATTTGGCGCTTCACTCATTTCATCATCTGTAACTGCCTCTGCTGGAGGAGGTGATATAACCGATCCCGGTCTTCCTGACAGTTCATCAGGCTCACTTGCCTTTGTGGCCTGTTCTTCTTCCTTGTCTTCAGGTGTATGAACTTTAGAGCCACAATGAATTTCTTCTGTGCCTTCTAAATTGTCACCTTCGCTTTGTTTCTCATCATCTTCAGCATTATCAGTTCTAAGATCTACTTCTCTGGTCACATCTGGTTCGAGATAGCCTGGAGCTTCAGAGCTTGGTTGCGCTTGCTTACTGTGAACATAATCTGCTTCTGCACAGCTGGTCTGGGTTTCTCTGTTCACCCAAGGCTGCTTTGGCTCCCTCTGTTGGTCAAAGGTATCTTCAGCAGTTTCAGTGCTAAGAAGGCTTCTGCAGGATTCGACAGGACAGGAACCTACATGCTCTTCACATGACCCATTGTCCACATCAAAAGTAGCAGAACGAATCTCTCTTAGAGTCTGAGAAGAGATGCTTTTTCCCTTCGTGGACAAACACAGTTAAATGAAAGACGTGTATTAAGAAAACTGGACGTAAAAAAGGGTGAATGCAGAAATGAAATTAATTTTAACAAACCGCCTTTCATTATGTTATTTCTGAAAAGTAACAGGCAAACCTCGGCTTCTGCTTAAGGTCCATACTCATAAATAAGAGTAAAAAAATCTTCCAATTAGAGCTGCCAATGACAATAACATATAAACAGATGTTTACTTGTACACCCATGCCCTTATGAATAGCGACCAAAGAAATTAATTGACAAAATAATGGCCTTAACATTAAATCCCATGTTCTGTGTGGCCAACAAACGCAAAGTTAAGAATAATGAATTTAAAATGACATAAAATGAGTAAAACCAACAAATTTCCATATTCCAAAGTTGGAAGCTGCCCTTTCGCTTGATGAAATTCTTACATTATCTTATTTGTTGATCTCAGAGTCAAATAAATACTTACAGAAGGTCTTGATGGAGATTCTTTGATAACCTGGCTCTCTAAGGAACGGAGTCTCTCCTCCAGGAAGCGGTTTCTCAGCATCATATCCTCAATGGCACCGTCACGCGGTAAAGCCTGTTGCTGTCTGTACATCGAGTAAGAAAACAAAAGCCTCGGTTTGGACTATGTAAAGCTGCTCTATCAGACAGAATCTACAATTACCAACAGTTTACAAGCACTGAAACGTATAGTTGTACAGGCAAAAGCAAGGACATCAGTGCTCGAGTGGCATCATCTTTATGTATCCATGCACACATGAACTTGATTTAGGTTTGCCATATTAATCCTGGATATTTCTTAATTAAAAGAGTGTATTTGTGGTTAACTTGACGACATCCAGCTGCATAGTCTTGAAATCTGAATTTGATTAGTGTAAGCATGTTTTTTCATAACTAATCCACTGGTGTTTTGGTCAATCTTTACAGTGTATGTTTGTAATTAGTTTTATTATATTATTATGTTTATTACTGCGTATTTATTACTAAAAGAATTCATTGTGAGTTTTAATTCTCCAATTAGTTCATGTGTACTGCCTCTTTTGTGTATATGTAATTTAACAGCACACTACAGATAATATTGAATTTTGTGTATGTGATTCAGATTCTTTTATTGTTTCGTAAAGTTATCATGTTCCAAGAACGGCCTCCTCTCCATCAAGAAGAGAAAGAGACGAAGACGAAGCCTAGAAAACTATAAACATGCCTGCATTAATGCAATCTACACGTTAGGACATTTGAACAGCCTGACAGATACTTTATAGTGAGAATCTCTGTCTCCAGGTCTGAATTCCTCTTCTTCAGCTCCTGCATCTCCTTCTCCATCTCAGTGGATCGCACGCCCACCACCTGATCAGCAGTGACCCCTCGAGCCTTCAGCTTTTTCTGCAGTGCACTCTTCTCTTGTTCCAGCCTATAAACGCAAAAAGACACAAGAAGCAAATAAAATGAATTAAGTGACAGTTCCACTGACACATTAACGTCTTCTACATCCACACAAGTGCCTCTGGGTTTTAGACAGAAAACACGAAGAGAAGTAGGTCAGCAAAGCCTGTTTGTGTGTGATGTCCAAACTAACCTGGCATAGAGGTCTTTAAGAGTGCTGAGCTGTTTTGAGAGGGATTCATTCTCTCGTTCCTTCTCCTTCAGTGAATTTTTGACCTTCTCCATCTTGGCCTGCCATTTCTTGCCCTCCTCCCATCGTACAATTTCTTCTTTAGTCTGTCCAACATGCATTAAATCACTACATGTACACCATATTAATATTAATAATATATTAAAAGGCTGCAGAAAACAACAGTCCTTTTCAGTCGTGTCCCAAAAGGCCATCGGGGAGCCACTGAGATTAAACACATTCGCAAGGGAAGGTTTTCAAATGACAAACGGCAACTTTGGGCAGCAGATTTGGTCGAAGTTCCTTCAGAGATCAGTGCAACCCTTACAAACAAATGCTTTCTTCCAAATATCTTGTTCTGCTTATTGATAAAATAACAGAGCTGGTTGCAAACTGATGTTATTTTGCACTAAAAAAGAAAGAAAAACCACAACGACTATACTGACTCAGTTTCAAGTGACTCTTCTCTAATATGTGCCTCTTTTTCAGGATGTGTATAGCCAGGAAAAGAGCAAAATATCGCTGTACTATTTGGCATCGGTCACTGCACCACCTTGAAAACAGGGCCCAAAATATTTGATGCCGACTGAATTGATGTTCATACCTTTCCGTGATCGTCTTTGACATGTTTTATTTCAGCTCTTTTCTCCAAGTCAGACTCCAGTCTCCAGATCTTCTTCTGCAGATTCTCAATAGTTGGTCGCTTTCCATCTGCTTCTCGTTGGCTCTAAAAACAAACACGAAAGCACCTTTTCTCAGACAGGTACATAAATGGAGATGGAAAAGTTTCTGTTTAGGTTAGGGTCACGGTGGGGAGTTTTGGTTAATATAAATTATAGCCCAAGTCCTGAGATAAACCTGAAACTTAACTTACAAAAAACTCCTACATGGTACTGATCCACGAGAATATCTAAAGAATTAAATCAGTTCTGACATACGAGCTTTGTGACATGTGAGATTCCATTCTTGATGAATGCTTCAGTTTTTGCCACAGATAAGCACGACAGGGTTTGGATGTCTCTTATCTCGTGTTTTATCACCTGCAAGGTCTGAATATGACGCCTAAACGAAAGCATGTGGTCGCACATCAGCATGAGGTTTCAATGTAACACATAGCTTAGATTCTAACAACAACAAGTAGCGGCTCAAAGCAACCTGATGTGGTTTGTGATTTCGCACTTTCTGGAGGCACTAACTTGAAGAGCGCTGGTGAGCCTTTTGATTTGCTGCTTGAGTTCCTCGATTTCTTGTTCTTGCGCCTCCTTCTCAGCTTGCAGACGCCTTTGGGTTTTCTGAGCTTTCTGGATGTCTTGGTTCAGCCTGTCCACTTCCTCTTTCAAGGAGCTCTCGCGGCCTCTGGCTGATTTGGCAGACTCTTTTGCAGCTTGAAGTTCTTCACTGAGTTCTTGCATTCGCACCTTTGGGGAAAGAAAAAGAAATTTTAAATCTTTTCCGATTCAAAAAGTTTGATATTATTTCCATTCTCTTGATTTTGTGGCCAAAATCAGCATTTTGTTTTGTTCTATAGAGCAACATTTTTCCTCAAATCAATTAAAACACATAAAGGTTTCATAGTGTTGTGCTGGGTCAAGTTTACTTTAATACCACAAATACTGTGTCAATCACACACAATGTTCTTTAAGTGTAAATAACGACCAGTATGGAAAAACGGCTGCATTTGCCTAAACAAATACAATTATGAATAACGTTTAGATCATCTAAATTTTTTCCCCCTTAATCAGTTGAACGAAATCATGATAACTTTTTTCTATCTACTACCTTTATAAATCACACTGAGCCTCCCATGAGGACGTTAATGGTAACTAATGATGGGAGGAAGGGTTGGTTGAGGCTAGCCAGATGTCAAACATGCTGTTTATGCAATAAGCCCAGTGCAAGCAGCTTGTTCACCAATTTGATCTTTGGTTAGTTCCTATTCAAAAGCATCAGGTTGTGACTGTATAAGCCTGGCTCCTAAAACTGAGTGAATGATAAAAAATGCAATCAAATCAGAATGCAATGATTTTGAGATCATCTACAAATCTATACCATATAAAAATACAACCAGGACCAAATATTATATAAGAAATTGACAGTTTTTTTGGGGTTTTTTTAGACCAACATGTTTAAAAAAGGTTGGAGCAGGGACATAGTTTCCACTGTCTGGTATCTGGTTATTGTAGTTCTAAAAGCAAATTGTTTTTCCATATTTGCTTGATAATGTTTCATACGATACTAAATGTTGGTGATGGGTTACAGGTCTGGAAAGTAAAGACCGGAAAGAGATGCTGTTGTAATACACACAGAATCTCTTTGGCTTTGTTTCCCTAAAATGGCCAGAATACTTGGCATCCAATTATTTCCAGAATCCGTTTGATTGGTCAGGGTACATGTCACGGAGCAGTCGTAGTGTGCTGTGATGCAGGTAGGATAGAGGACCCAAACGCAGGACTCAAAACCAAGAAGTTAACTTAAAGTGCAGTTTATTCACTGGGGTGACTCATCAGAGAAATAAACATTACTCAAACACGACCAATAAATGGTGAACACGAAACTAGACACTAGACTGGAACCTAAAACAAGATAACACACAGGAACAGAACCAAGAACATGAATGAATTTAAAACACAGCACAGGGAGGAAGTGGACGTCAATGACCCGACACAGAGCAGGGAAAACGCAGGGCTTAAATACACACTGGGATATCGAGGGCATGAGACACAGAAGGGGAGCACAGCTGGGAGAGATTAGGGCTAACGAGACAGGGGGAGCAAAACTAGACACACTGACATGAGACAAACCTTCACAATAAAACAGGAAACAAGAAACCACCACACAAAGACGGAGACTAGACGCAGAACCTAAGAACTAATCCCCTAACAAACATAAACTAAAACATAGAATACTAATAATAATCAACAATGCACAAGAGTCAATACAAAAAACAAAATTAAACCAAAACATGAGAAACTCAAAATGCTGGGTAAAAACTGACCCAGAACTGTGACAGTACGGGACAGTTTCCTCTCTTTCCCAGTCCATCTTCAATGAGCTCAGGCTCAGAGAACATGAAGGCAGTCTAGGATGTTGTTTATAAACATAATTTATAAATATCTTTTCCTTTTTTTTAATCTAATCTTATGAACCTTTAGAATATTAAAAGTATTAAAGTGATACTCTTTCTCTTCACCAATATAAACTAGTAATACATTTTTGGTTAAGGTAAATAAAAAAATACAGAAATGATCATTGTCCATCAGATTGCCAGAAGGAGAAATGTGATTTATCAGTCCAGATAACACGTCTCCACTGCTCTAGAGTCCAGTTGCAGCATGCGTTACATCGCTGCATCTGATGAAACAAGTTCCATGAAGGTGCATGCTGCTCTTTGCTAATCTGAAGGCCACAAGTTTGCATGCCTAGATGCTTGATGTTATTGGTCAGTAACAGTCTCGGTCGTTGTGTCCTTGGGCAAGACACTTCACCCGTTGCCTACTGGTGGTGGTCAGAGGGCCCGGTGGCGCCAGTGTTCGGCAGCCTCGCCTCTGTCAGTGCGCCCCAGGGTGGCTGTGGCTACAATGTAGCTCGCCATCACCAGTGTGTGAATGTGTGCGTGAATGGGTGGATGACAGGTTGTGTAAAGCGCTTTGGGGTCCTTAGGGACTAGAAAAGCGCTATACAAATACAGGCCATTTACCATTTTACCAGGCCATGTTATACACCTGTGGCCGTGAAAGTGATTGGAACACCTAAATTCAATGATCTGGATGGGTGAGTGAATACTTTTGGTAATATAGTATATCTTTCTTTGCATAGTATTGCTTTGAGTCTAATTTGCGGATGCAGAAACAAACTTTGATCATTAACACTGGTTTTCAAAAGTGTTCATGAGCCATGCTGTGATTACTTCCATCTAGGAGGATATATTTTTGGTAGTATTGTTATGGCAGCATGTTATTCTGTTTGTTGGTAAACACAATGGCTATGTAGGGGTGTAGAGTGGGGTAATGTTAACAATCCATTAAAATTTGCCTTACACCCACCAAAGTGTTCAAGGTCAACTTAATGATTTATTGGTCAAACATTGACAAAAAAGCCTTATAACACAAAAAAACCCTGAATCTTACAAATGTGGTGTGTATTGTCAATAAATAAAAGCATCATAAAAATATTTAAAATATGGCACATTTGACCTCTCTGTCAACGTCAACCAAATTATCTGTAAGTCAAACTGAAAATGTTATATAGAGCTATTTAAAACTATGTTTCTTGGTTCCATTATCTGCATTGACAACATAAAGGCATATAAGAACGATATATGGAGATTCTAAATAATCAAAGTAAACATCTGTCATGCTGCCCTGTCTGATCTATACTACACTACTACACTTACTTTTAAAAATTATTCCCTCAAAAGTAAATTCTGCCCAGAGAGTGAGCTGTCTTGGCAGACGTTTGCATTCTCTAATTGTTTCTTGTTTCCACCTGAGAGGCCAGAAGATTGCAGAAACTCTTTTAATAACCAGTTTCTTAAGATTTCTCCAGATTCTCAAACTTTTCTAATATTATTTACCATGCTTGACAAAAAATCTTTCCTTTTTTACTTCTGAAACACAGCCTCAAACAACATCTCCAGAAAGCTCATTTCATTGTTTGTTTTACCATCTGTTGTGGCCAATTTAACTTCTTCCTTTTGTAACTTTCTGGACTCATATTCAAAGTGAGCATTTAATTTTCTAGGAACAATAAAAAAGTCTTAGTAGTACTTGATTTATGGTCTTTGTACTATTTTCATTTTAATATGGTGTTGAAATAAATTACATATCCCTGCATTCTGGGTTTTTGTTTTTCACTTTTAAACAGCGTACCAACTCTTCTCAGAACAACATTTTAAACATTACAAACTAGAAGCAGGTTTTTGGCAAGTATAGAACCAACAATAAATCATATTTTGTGGTGTTGAATAACTAGCTCAACAGCTGATGAAATACAACATACACAAACACACGGACACCCCACACAAAACAGAAAACAAACCAAAACAAAAATGATTACATTCTGATGACTGTGGGCTCTTACCTTAAGGTCTTTGGTTTGTCTGTCAATCAGCATCTGGACATTCAGACTTTCCTCTTTCTGTGCAGCACTTGCTATAACTTGCTGTTCTGCAGCAGACGTCATCTCCGCACGCAGGTTCAACAGAACCTTACTAAGAGCCTTTAAAGCATACGCAATACATCATCATCCATTAACAGATTATTTGCCCTCTACCATACACATCATTTTGGTAAGCAAACTGCAAAATTGACACAAACAAAAACATCTGACTTTACAATGTGTGTGGTGTAATTATAAATGTATCATTTAAAAGACTTTCTGCAGCCGTAACAGATAGCCAAATCATTTAGTCACAAAAACATTATGCTGGGTGAACTCTAAATATTCAGGTGAGGCTTCCACTCCATCACACCGCCAGTGCAGAGAGAAGACAGTCAAGATTTATTTCACAAATTTGGAGTAGGCAGGAATTACGGTACGCAGGGAAAATACCAACTATGAGTGGAAAGCATTTTCTCAGTACGCTGAAACTAAACTGAGTGCCAACCACTTTACATGTGTGCACAACTTTCAAAGAAAAACTGGGGGGAAAAAAAAACAACAACCTTTAGCTGTTTCTCTTTCTGGGTGAGCTGTGCCTTCTGTTGTTCCATTAGATTTTTCATGGTGTTACTGGGGGAGCGGACATTAGCCTCCTTCTGGGCCTCCAGTTCAGCTCGAAGATCATTCATCTCCTTCTCCATCTGGGCCATCTGGCTCCTCTGATCCTCATTCTCCGCAGTCAGAGCTTTCACCTGGCTGACATGGTATTCCTCCAACCTGCAACAAATCCCCCATATCAGTTTTAAGACAAGAAATCTGTTAGCTTTGGATACCTTTGGGATTACTTTGCCTCAGTTTGAGAATAATGACTTAAAAAAATGTGATCAACATGTGTCTGTGGCATTAAAAGGGATTTAGTTATGAGTTTAAAAAAAAA